TTGTCTTTATTTCGTCTTCTCTACCCACGATTTCTTTTTTTTTTCTAGCCCTCTCCTTGTTTCATCGTACTAGCTGCATGCGTCTCCCGCAGTCTATCTTGAACGTATACAACATTTAAATGTTATCTCGTTCATTTGTAACGAAGATGAATCTGTAAGGCTCGAATGCCGATTAAATGATAACACTGAAAAATAGATTAGAAACGTTTGTATGGTTAGATACGAAAGAATAGCTAGAAATTGCCTAGAAGAAACGAATAAACAACGAATAAAGAACGATATGCTATATTATTTCTAGCAAACTCCATTGATTAATCCATTGACTCTATTATTTATGATTGATTGTATTTACATTTCTTCCGCACATTATGTATCTTCATATCAAGGAGTTTTTGTCTCGTATAAATAGATAGAGAAGTTAAATTAAATGAAACAATTTCGTGCAAATACGAGACAAGATTAGGATCGTTGGAAACAAAGCAATCATTCACCGAGACACCACGTATTGCAAACGGAACTAAAATCAACTGACGATCGACTCGCAAAGAGTCTAGTAAAAATACATCAACGTGAAGCGATAACCTTCGTATATGTCAGTTTTTTCTCGATGCAACGATTTTTCCTCTTCGCCCCGTCGCCCTCCTCTCGCCGACGCTTCGATCTAGGCTAGTTTTATTTCCAACCGCTTTACCTTCGAACTTTTATTTACGTGTCACCGGAAAAGGGTTCTCGTGTCTCAACATCGACGGGGAGACACCCCTCTCTGACTCTGCGTCTGCACGGATATTCCGATGCCTGGAGTTTCCAGAGGACGCGTTTCCATTAAAGTCTTGCCAAACCGAGGAATCTTTGCGAATTTATCGAGTCGATCTTTGTCTGCGAATATGCATTTCCATCCCGATCGATGAGTCACCAAACTTTTTCCCATGTTACGTGCGCTACAGCATCCTCTCGTACACGCCAGTCCCGTATTCGCCACTCTGTGAAACATACTCTTCATTTATAAAGTAAATATTTAATATTTCGTTTTATCGTGTTTTACGCTGTCCACGACTAAAATTAGATTAAATTAAAAACTTCAAAGTTAGATAATATTTATAATATCCTCGAATTTATCTCTAAACTGTTAATTACCAATGGCGTGACGACGCCAGTCAAGAGTTATAGTTAGTTAAATTCCACATTTTATATATTTTATATCCCATTTGCATCACGACTTAGATTTCATGACCTAAATTGCATTATTTGCGAGTTCACGTGTATTATAATTTGTCCAATCTCGATCTAAATATTTGCCAGCCTCTATTAATACTAATGAAATATCAAAATGCGAGACAAATTATATACTCTTAATATTATACGGAGAGCTTATAATCCAATCAGTGTGAATTACTAGATTACTAGAACAATTAGTGTTATAAAAATATCCTCTTTTTTTTTTTATAAAACCTAACCTAAAGCTTCCTAAACCTAACCTAAATCTTTTTTATAAAACCTAACGTAAACCTTCAGTTTTAAACATTATTATATGATAAATATAAATATTTATATAAATATTATAGGATAAACCTAAAGGAACCTAAAGCTTCCTAAACCTAATCTAAACCTTTTTTATAAAATCTAACCTAAACCTTCAGTTTTAAACATTATTATATCATTGTAATATAAAAATATGATTAAAATTATTAAAAATACATTGTTATTTAAATTATTGAAAGTAGCAATTAAACTATTACATCGATTGATAATTTTAATTAAAAAAAAAAAGAAACATTTGCAAAAACATAAGCAATTCTTAATTGAGAGGTCACTTTAAGGAGTCACTTATATTAGACTTCTGAGTCTTCCATATATTAATAAATATAAAATTTCTAAACCACCATTCGCGAATTATTCCGCGTTTTATAATTTACTCTCGAGGTATCTCGCTTCGTGATGCAGATCGGTTAACTATGGCTGAATTATTTGAATTGAACGTATCGTTTAGAAACTATAAAACACGTTCAACCCTTTGAGCTATAATATCGAGTTACATGATAGGAGTTACTCGGTTTCGATTTGAAAGAAAAAGCAAATCTCATGGAACATGAGATTTCGAATTTTTTGTCTTAATTCTTCAAACTGAAGGTTAATAAACACAAATTATACATCATGCTCTCAACGCTTTGCATCTGACACGGTGTGATGTGTTGTGATAATTAATCGTTTGCCGAAAATTGAGAATAAAAATCACAAGGCAATGGGTTGACTACGATGTTTTGAGATTGTTTGAAACATCATGTTGCCTTCTTCCATTCTTCATTCCTGTGAAACATTAATCTTCACTGATAATCGTCAAAAGCATTATCTATTTTTCGAAACAGAAAGAAATGTTGTAAAATGTTAGCGTTACGTCCGACGGCCCTTAAATTTTCATTCCCACGTGGTTAAATGACGAATGCCCCGATGTACGGATCAGCAATCATTCATGTTTTCGCCAATGTCGTTCGATGGGCATTCGTATTCATTTGTCACGACGTGCACCGGGTAAAAGTGATTTTCTGTCGACGTTGCAACTGTGCCGCATTGGTTTGCCACGTCCCGTGCTTCTCCAATGCTTTAATTTTCAAACGATTCATCATTCGATAATTAGCAGAATTAATCCTTTTTGTCTTTCTATTCGTGTGAATACACATTGAAACCGGCTTTTACTCGACGATATTTAATAGTAATGTACAGTTTGCTGTGCGGACTACCAAATCATTATTATGTCCAATGACGGTTTGTGTGGGCACTGCAACTTTCGAAATATGCATACACACTGCAAATATAATTATGATTTTTATTATTTATGGGATTATTCATGGTAAATGTGTTATAAGTAAATATAAATAAATGAATGATAATATACTTATATATCGAGAAAAATTCGAGGAGTGCTGCAATTCCGCAGTGCTTATACACGAGCCGCCGTATGACTGATTATATCTAATAACAGACCAGGATATTTTGCGAGTTTAGTCTTGATACTAATTCTACATGTATTTAAGATCACTATATCGGTATTAAATTCGTGATAGTCATACTTCGTTATAATTCTAGTGAAATTTCAAAAAGTTTCGTATAACACACATAATGTATCATATTCGTACAAATTTTTCTGTTACGTTCACACACGTAACTTGCGATTGCTTTACTAAATTTCGACAGGCATCTTCTTCAACAAAATAAATTCATGCATTGCCATCTATTGGCTTTTTCCATATCACTCTTCGAGAGATATTTAGATTGCAGAACGCGACATGTATCTGTCCTCTTTGTCTACTAATTGTGCTGCCGCCTAAGCATTTCTTAATTCCAATTGGAACTAAAAGGGTAAATTGGAAAAATCCGATAGATGGTAGTAGATGTTTTGTCCATAGACAAGGAGCACAATAATGTGCACATAGAAGGAAAACATTGTGTGAAACAAGGATAGCAAGAGATTTTAGTTTTATTGTTTCACCGCTACGGGGCTCTAGCAAGGAATAGAGCAAATTTTCATTTGCAAAAAAAGGTAATTAAGAGGATTTATTTATGAACTTTTGTAGCTGTAGCTTCATTTTTAAATCTTAAACTTTCCTCTCGCATTTCGTTTGACTTTCGTAAAATGCACAAATAAAAATTTACAAATTTTGTTCAATAGATCGAAAAATTGGCGCCAAATTTACTTGAAATAATTTTGAGCTAATTAAATTTGATATTTGAATTATTGTTCGTGAATATTAGTTATAGTCAAAAGGATGAACAAGATTTTAATACAACACTTTTATTAATATATTAACAATTATTGAATTAAATACAATGTATTTGATTTGAATTATTTCTATACTATAATAGATAATAGATAATGCTCGCTGCAGTAAATTGTAAGAAACGTAAAAAATATTCACTCGAGATTGATATTTCAGAATACATGTATAGCTCAAAGCTCCATAAGATGCTAGATCTACTTTATATTTAGTCAATGATCGTGTTAACCAACGCCTATGAATGACGTTAAATTGCATATGTATAATCAACATTGTGACTTTAATATACTTTTCATATTTCATTGTTTTAAGTGATAATATCTCGAAATGATTTTTAAAAAGGCAATCATATATGCTAATTTATTACTTTTGTTCACAGTGATAGGTAAGTGTATTTGCTGTCGAATAAAAACTACTGTAGCGTGTATAAAATAAGGAATCGCGTTCAATTTAAGGTTATGAGATATTAAGTTTCGATTAATTTTTCAATTCACCTAAATAAATTATAGGTATTCAAGCGATTCGTTGTTATCAGTGTAGTAGTGATACTGATCCTAAAGGCGAAGATCTGTGTGGAGCATATGGAAAATTTGATAAAGAGAAAAATATCGCCATCGAATGTAACAGTGAAGAGTCACACATGCCTGGTACATTCTGTGTTAAAATAACACATCAAAGTCCTCGTGGTTTTATTTGTAAGTTTACTTCTTTAAAATTTCTTATTACTGAACAAGATTTAAGTTTTGTCAACAAATTTAAATATATGGTATACTTACACTTACGTTTAGTTAATCATTCGATTACTGATCTAGTTTTCATTTATTTATTTTTCTGATTAATTTTTGAAGGGGACGGTAGATGGCGTCAAGTGATTCGTCGGTGCTCTTCTGTAGCCAGTACTGGAGTCACAGGTGTTTGTAATTGGGGAGTTTATGAAAATGGTGTGTATTGGGAAGAATGCTCCTGTTCTGAAAACAATTGCAATACAGCATCATCTTTATCGTCATTTCCAATAATCATGTTATTGAGTCTTGCTATTTCAATTACCATATTCTCTTTGAGATAAAAGTATGAAATATACTTATTCATTTCAAACAAATCATTACAAGTAAAATTTTTATTGAAGAATAAAAACTGCCTTTGCCTTAAAACAGTATAGGTAGAATATGTATTACGATGAAGTATTTTATATGTATTTCTATAAAATACATCATCATTTTATTCTACAAAAAAGCAATTCTGACAGTGTAATTTAGCAATATGATCAAAATATTTTTGATTTATTTATTAAGTTTTCTATTACATTTTGAAATATTTTATACAAACTTTATATTTAAAGTTAATGTACTGTTTGTCGCTTTTATTTCAATCAAATCATCCAAAATGTTTACCTGAGATATTTAATTATTAATGGTAATTGAAAAACTGTCTGAAGATTTTTGCATTTGTCAGATAAAATGACTTTAATTATGATGATTAGTTACAGATATAGCAATATCATGAAAAAACAGTGCTAAAAAATCTGAAAAGCAACACTATAGTAAATAAGAGATATCCGTCCATATTTATCTCAGATATTCGACCAGAATTATTTAAAGTATCCGTCCATTTTCTATTATTTCCATAAATTAATCTGATTAAAAATATCAAAGATAAATTTATCAAATTAGAAATATATAATAATATAATATTTTATATTGAATGTATTATATAATTTTATAAATAAACAAATAAATTCTTATTGTTCGTTATTTTTGTACTAGATTCAGCCTATAATTTTGTATATAATTTAATATAAACAATGTAAATATAAACGATAATATTCAAAGCTATTGTATAATTACATGCAATAAACTGCATTGCTAATACAAATCAACCCCATTAGTAATATAATTTATTCTTTCTATTTTTAGTTTTACTGTAATTGTTTTTTTAACTTTGATCATTTCAAATATGATATGCGTTATCATTACTTAACTCGTTAGAACATGATTTTTTGACTGCGTTAACTTGCTAGAATTGGCATAGTTAATATATCGTACAAGATGCTTACAATGCACAATTCTTATAAAGATAACTATATATACATAAGTAATAAGTACATATCAAACACTAGACTTCATTTTTATTCGCTTGAACGTCCTGTTCAAACACAAAGTGAAAGTGAAACTAACATATTAATATAAAATTCTCCGTATGTATTTCCCCGAATATATCGAAGAAGATCCCCGGAATTTGCTACCTTATAAAAAAAATTTAATGTATTTCCATAAAATATAAAAATTACTGATACATAGAACAATATTCATTTAAAATCTGCTAATTATATGAAAAACAACTGAACATGAGATTACATTTTGTATTAATGTACATTTTAACGTATGAGGTTATTACAACACTTAATCAAAAATTATATTGGTAATTCTGATTATCGTGGGGAATTTTTATATTAAACTGTTAAACTCTTCGTATATGACTTTGCGCATGCTTTACGTTTCCCTCTCACTCCATTGTATATACAACTATTCTTTTCTTTATGAATGCTCAAGTTGAAAGTTTGATCAGTGTTCAAAGTGGCATGTGATTTCGCCGAAGGAAAGTTAATACGCGAACAAAGGAATTTCCTGTTGAAATTGAAATAAACTGCAATATACAATGAATATTGCGGATGGAGTCGGATACACGCGGTCGGAAATATTTGTGCTTGTGGCAAGGATATCATTTATCGCGGCTTTTGGATTTTTCAGTATGAAATGGATTATGAATCAACTTGATCCAACGAACAATGCAAAGAAAAAAGCCAGGAAAAAGGTTATACATTAATCGTTTGATGTTTTTAAAAATTAAGTCTTACATAACATATTTTCTTTACATATTAGAAAAATAACCTTACTTATGTATTTTTTTTTTTTTTTTTAATAAAAAAAGTGTGATCTGAATATTCCGTAGGCACAAGAACAGTTACGAAAATTAGCCAAAACTGATAATCTAACATGGACAGTGGATATGGATCAGTTGACAGATTATGAAATGATGATAGCTAATCACATAGTGGATCCCAAAGATATTCGAGTTTCATGGGAGAATATTGCAGGCCTTGAACATGTTATACAAGAACTCAAAGAAACTGTGATATTGCCTATACAGAGAAAAGAATTATTCGAAGACTCTCAGTTAACTCAAGCGCCAAAGGTAGAAAATTATACATTGTTAAAAAATTTATATATTACAGTCGATATTTTGATTTTAGGGTGTACTATTGCATGGTCCTCCAGGTTGTGGTAAAACGATGATTGCCAAAGCAACTGCAAAAGAAACTAAAACATGCTTTATTAATTTAGATGTAAGCATTCTAACTGATAAATGGTATGGTGAAAGTCAAAAATTAACTGCAGCTGTCTTTTCATTAGCTGTGAAACTTCAACCGTGTATAATCTTTATTGATGAAATAGGTTAGTAGAAAAAAAGATTGTCAATTTATTTTATGTCAATGTAACATAAATCATCTGTTTTTTTTCTGCAGATTCATTTTTAAGAGCGCGTAATTCACAAGACCATGAAGCAACAGCAATGATGAAAGCACAATTCATGTCTCTTTGGGATGGACTAATCACAGATCCTTCTTGCACAGTTATAATAATGGGTGCTACTAATAGACCACAAGACTTAGACAGAGCTATTCTCAGACGTATGCCAGCTACTTTCCACATTGGTTTGCCAGTAAATAAAATTTATATAAGATATTGATAAAAAAACATATGTTTATACAATTTTTATATATACATATATATATTTCAGGATGAACAACAACGAATGCAAGTCTTGAAGTTGATATTAGATCATGAACCAGTAGCTGAAAATATAGATATAGCAAAACTGGCGAAAATTACAGAAGATTTTTCTGGATCAGATTTGCAAGAACTTTGTAGAAATGCTTCTATTTATCGTGTTCGGGATTATTTGCGGACTCATACACAGTTAATATATATCTAATCATTATTATTTATAAAAGTTGGTAAAATTTATATTTAACTTCTTTTTATTGTAGGGATACTACTAGTACTGACGATGAAGAGTTTCATGATGCAGTACGACCTATAACAATGGAAGATCTACTTACATCATACAAAAAATTAAGAACATCTAAAATACATACGGGTACTCGTAGTGTTCTTAAATCTGATATAGATTAAACATATATCAATCCATTTTGAAATTTTTTTATTTAAGAAAGAAAAATTAGAAGCTAAAGAATTTTATAGTAATATATCTCATTTTCAAATATTCAAATATTATAAGAAAAAGTATGTAAAAAATTTTGTTGCAAAATTTCATAATTTATAAATTACTAACACTAAAAGAAACAGTGCGCATGGAAAAAAGGGTGTATATACGCATGTATATGTATGTAACATAAAATTACATCTAATATAAGACTACTAACCTATATTTCGAGGAGAAGAAATTTGAGTACAATTTAAATTACTTTATTCGATAAAATAGATTTCATGAGATTTATAATACAAAGACAATGTAAAATATCTTGATAAAATTGATTAAAAAAGAGAATTGAATCTATTAATATCAACATTTTGCCATTTTAATTTGTTGTATTAATTTCTTTCTACCGCATAGTATGTTAATATTAATCATACTGAAAATTTTTATATGTGCGCAATTTTTTTCGTAAGTAATCTCTGTATGCGTATGTGAACGTGTGTATTTATGTGTGTATACATGGTAAGAAATTAATCAATATATCTTGATTATTGTTATGTAAATTAATTTGTTGTTAATTGTTACACTTCACTGTATAAGTTTTTGTATTTATCAGTGTACAGATAATTCGTAATTGTTTATAAATGCATCTGTTATGGAACAAGATTAGAAATTATAAAGAAACAGTTGTTAAGTCTAGTATACATGTAATTTAAACTTGATGTTGAGCGTAGAATTAAATTTATATAGACAAATCAATATTGATTGTTTGAAAACAATTTTATGTGAGAGACAAAATGGAAACAGAGATGCAAATTTTATGTGAAAGATAAAACAGAAATAGAGATGCAAATTTCTAGTTTCACTTGTTAAATATCATCCGTTACCTCTGTACATATATAACAATTAGTTAAAGATTACGATAATTTTTAATCAAGATTTGTTGTATAAAAATAGTACAATTGTTGAATATAAGACCATTAATAATATTAATAAAATTCGATTTTATCGTTTAAGCAACTTGTATTCATAAATTGCTCTTGAGGAAACAATTTTTACAGTTTTATCCAAATATTTGATTACAAAAAAAGCACAACTGTAAGAAAAAAGAAAAAAAGGGGAAAAAAAGAAGAAAAGAAAGAAAAAGCAAGAACGCATGCGCAAAGAAAAGGATACCGACAGAGCATTTCAGAGAACAGTAGCGAAAGTTTCCGGAATGAAACTTCTAGGATGACAAAGTCTCTGTGAGCTTTCACCCTGTCCCTTTCTTCTTCTTTTGATCGGTAAGGTACGGCAATAGAAACCGGTGAAACACCGAGAACAGGCGAGAAAAAAAAGGATTTTCTCGAAAGAAAAAAAGGTAAACGCTGCTATCAACGGTAGCAGTGAGAAGCGCGAATAGACGCGACGTAAACGCGTCATTGTGAATGGCGCTTCTAGTGACAAAAGTGGCCGAGAGAGACTTTCCATTTCACATCAGATGTAAACTGTGTTTGAAATGGATGTTACAAAGTATATTGCTGTCCGTTAATTGAGTCGAGCTTTCTCTTCGTTTTCCTATCTGATCTTCGTTGACGATCTAACGAAGAGATGACGATAAAGAGGAAAGGGAACACGACCATACCAAACGGATCCCGGTACGATCGTCTGTAAAATCCTGCGTAGCATCACGGCGGTTCGTTCGCAGAGTGGACAACCATTCCGCAACAACCGCGATGCATGATCTTATGCGTTAGTGGTGAGTGTCCGTATCGCGTGTGCGTGCCTATCCATGTTGGCAAATTGAGGATGCAACATAGAGATCGTGTTGTTCCTCACGGCCGTATTCATGAATATGTGCATTTATTACGTCTGTATGAGTTCCGTATTCGAAAACCACTGTACTCTCGTGATAGAATGTGGTTCGAGTTCATGTTAATACTTTGACACGATGACACGGTTACGCCACCGAAACGTGATTCTTCTGTGAACGGGGGACTTCTCGGCGAGAAGTTTACATACATTTATTTATTGGTGTGGTTCAGCGAGACTTGTCGATCAACGGACCACCCGAGAGATTCCTATCGATGCTAACTCTTGATTCTCTAGAAATTCACCGTAACTGGGAGTGCCGCTAGATCGTAGTTGAACATGCTCCGAAAGAGCTGGAGTGAATTTCACGTTACACGCGAGGAAAGATTGCTTTTTCACGTTTCGAAAGTAACATGGTACCCCGAACGATTTCATTGAAAGTCTTCTGATGCAAGTCTTCTGCAAACGATATGTGAACATTAAATTAAGGAGAAAACGGACAATGCATCGGTGAAACTGGCATGTACCGCGGTGTTAAGTGGCCTCTGTGATGTATTGCGAATGGTGCTTAACCTAACTTTTCATCGACGCTTCTACACGGCGTTTTCTTCCGAGTAATGTTCTTTCGATAACGAACTTGTAACCAAGTGTTCATAAATCGCGAATGTTTGTCGTTTATCATTTCTCTCTCTCTCTTTCTTTTTTTTCTCAATGTACCAAGTGTTATTTTTTTTCTTGCCGCTTTTATGTACGATTTTGATTTATCGTAAGAAAAAGGAAAAAAAAAAGAAAAAAACACGAGACTATGATCGTTACTTTGTAAAACTCTGAAAATGCTTTTTATTGACTGTACTTCTGATTTTGTCGAGGATTGTATGAAGATTAAATTCACAGTATTTATGCGAGTATGTTTTTAACGGTTTTACCGTTTATATTCAAGTCGAAATTCAGGTTTATTTTTTTATTCTTTTCTTTGTTGTGTTTCTTCGTCGTAGTTTTTGTACTACTTTTGTACTACCAGTGCTTGTATCGTGTACTTCTAGATGTTCATTCTAAAAATGTGAATCAAACGTATGAATGTATATTAGCATGTTCTGCCTATTATAACTGACTGTATCATTAGAATTTTGTCATTTTTCTCTAGCAATGGTCATGGGCAATCTTGTCATTTTATTATCAAGAAGTGGAGACTGAAATTATTGGAGTTAAGAGAGAAGATTTAAAATTCACTCGGCCAAGTATGTCCAACACCATAAGTAACATGAAGATGACCAACCGTATCAAGGGAATGGTGAGCAAACGTCGTAGACGTTTCACAGAAGATGGTTTTGACCTTGATCTCACATGTATCCTTTCTTCATAATCATCAGTATAATTTATTGATATTGTATCGATAGTTCTATTAGTATATTCCTTAACCGTGGCTGTATGAACGACAGACATAAGAGATAACTTAATAGCAATGGGTTTCCCAGCTGAGAAGTTAGAAGGAGTGTATAGGAATCACATAGATGATGTTGTTAAACTGTTGGAATCTAGACATAAAGATCATTATAAGATTTACAATCTGTAAGCATCTTGATTCTTTTTGGATTTTTGTTTCTTTGGTCAATCAAAGAATTGAGAACAAACAGGATTTTAAAACAAATGTGTTTTTCACGTTTTTCAGATGTTCAGAGAGATCTTATGATTTTAAGAAATTTAAACAAAGGGTAGCTACATACGCGTTTGATGATCACAATCCACCAATGTTGGATCAAATCAGACCATTTTGCGAGGATGTGGATGAGTGGCTTTCTCGGCATCAAGAAAATGTAGCTGTAGTTCATTGTAAGGCTGGTAAAGGTCGGACTGGTGTAATGGTGTGTTGTTACCTTCTTCATACTAAACAGTTTCCCACTGCCACAGAAGTTCTTAATTACTATGGAACTAAAAGAACACACGATAGGTAATTGTACTATGTTTTGTTTTTCATGTGTACAAAACAATTATTTCATCAGTCACGTTATTTGTCATTCAGGAAGGGGGTAACAATACCTTCACAAAGGAGGTACGTGGATTATTATGCTACTCTTATACAAGAAGGATTAAATTATGAACCGGTTACGCTGTTCTTACGGAAAATACAATTGGATCCAGCGCCTATCTTTCATGGAGGTCAAGGATGTAAGAGTTACAAATTATTAAGGAAAGAATTAAGTCCAAAGTATGATTACATACAATTTTTTGTATTTTAGATTTGCATTGTGTAATAACGGAATCTAAAAAGAAGATATTTAGCTCTGAAATAGTAGAAGTACGAAAAGGGATGCACACAATCAGCATTCCTTTAAAACACAGCATAGCGTTGACGGGAGATGTACGAGTGGATTTTTTTAATAGACCAAAAATGAAACGAAAGGTATACATATTCTATATTCGATAATAAAATTAACAAGATTGGTGCTTCGTCATAACATGATTAATCAATTCGTTCGCTCTTTTCTCCTAGGAAAAATTGTTTCATTTTTGGTTTAATACATTTTTCGTACGAGACTATTTATCGCCGGAATACGATAATGGAGAGTTACCAGTTGAGCGTTCAACTAGGGCATTGAGTTGCGATGGTACAACTATGGAATTACCAATGGTTATGTCGCACATGAAACCCAGAGCTGGATCGCTAGCTAGTCTCGGACATATGCCACCTACTCTTGTTTTAAGTATAGATAAATGGGGTCTGGATGACGCACACAAGGATAAACATCACAAAGTGTATAGTGCTGATTTTAAAGTAAGTATTACACGTAATACACGTACACTTGACGCACATTTAATATGTATGTATTTATTATGTTAATCTGAATTCGACGAAACGAATATTTCATTCGAATTGATCGAACGTTGTTGTAGGTTAGCTTATTTATGCATCGAATGGGCGGTAATATATCGCAAGCTGTACCAGCAACTACGAATAGAACAGGAGAGGGTATACAAATAGGAATGGGAGGACAAGATACTCCGAGCGAATCGAGCGAAGCGGATAGCAGTGAATGCGACACAACTGGAGATACGACGGGAGATGAAGACGGGGAATCTGGTGAGTCTTCTGCATCTCTGGTGGTGAATCACCATCCTCTTACACACAGCAGTAGCCGTACACACGTTAGTATCCACCAAAGAGCTAGTCTCAGAGAAACTGCAAAGAGTTTACTCTCACATGGGGATAAAAGTAGAAGTAGTCATCGGCAAAGCGCTGATAATGTGAAACGCTCTTCAGCTCTCATACGTTCAGCCACGTTAGATACATAAAGGAAACAAAAAATTTGTGTATGTATGTATGTATATAAACGTACATATGTATATATACATATATTTATCGTATCTTGTACTTAAACGCTGAATTCTCTGAACTGGCATTCAAGCTTTACAATAACTTTATATGAAACCAAATTGTGCTATTAGTTTCCCTTTGTCATGCTAGCATGAAAGATTAGCATTCGATAAGTTCTTAAATGTATCGATTTTTTTTTTTCCTAATGTCCTCTTCTATTGTTAATAGAATAATAATGTAGAAAAATTTAGCGCGTATTAGAAAAATTTGGGCTGTTTTGATCTGTTTTGAAACATAAGACAAGAAACATCAAAGCATACTTCGGAAGGGAATTTTTACGAAATTAACAGAACATCAAAATATTTCGATGCTATTCCTTCGGTAAAACGACATTTACAGAATGAATTTTTAATATTTTATGTTCGAGATTATCGATTCTACCTCTATTTAACATTGATAATATATCTGATAGTCGATATTGAAAAGAGTGCATTGAATGTTCTGAAACAAGAACAAACAAATTAAGATATTCTATATTTTTGCATAGCAAATATTGTGTGCAAAATATGAAGATATTTCAGTATTTAGGAGAAGTTACGATCTTTTTTTCTGAGTAAAAATTATCGGATATTTATTATTATAAATTATTGAAAAAAAAAAAAAAAAAAAAAAA